TACAATGACCATTTGTAAATGTAATTAATTTTTAAAAGTTTTGCAAACCATCATCTTAACTAAAATAAATTTATGAAAAGTTAAGTATCTATAAACATCTGTTCTTATACATAAAATTGATAATTATGGAAAAAGAATGTATATATGTATATATAAAAAAGATAGGCATGATTTCAAATCTGAAATGTATAATTCATATCTATCACCTATCTATCTACCTACCTGTCTAACTATACCTATCAATTTTGCTTCTATAGAACTAATCTTAGGCAGAACACCCAGAATCTCTGAGCCTCAGTTATGGGCATAATAGTGTTTAGTATAAAGCATTAGTGTCATTGTAAAAGCTAAATCAATTTAAGGCATTTAGTAAAGAGCATTGCATATATTAAGTATGAAATAAATACAGGATTTAATTCTCTCTGTAGACATTATTAATACAGTCATATTCCATAGAAGTTAAATGTCTCACAAGTATGAGAAGCATTATTTTTAAATGATTATGATAAGTTCAATTCAGTTCAACAAACATTTGTGGAATGCTATGTAACTTATGCTTTGTGATTAAATCTTTCTGCCCCTTCAATATTTCAACAAAGGAAACACAAACACCATAGCTATTCAATCAGTGATAAATTAAACACATTTAGATCTTCTTTAAAAAATAGTCATTATAAACCATGAATTCCAAGATTGCACAGTTAAAACAGATATATTTTAGGACTTACTTTTTTGATAATTATTTTTGATAAGTAGCATTTTACACGACTTTCAGCATTTTCTATGTGATGCCTTAGGAGGTCAAAAGCACTTCCTTATTGATTCCTTTTTTTTTTTATCCTTCAGTGTAAATGAAGTAGAAATTAACATGGCTAGTTTTGTCCTACAACAACTTCCTCAACCTTACTCTGTCTTATTATGCCAAACCTTTTTCTTTTAATATCAGCAGCATCGATTGATGCCAGCAACACTGATCTAGAAACAGTGCTAATTATCTGCAGCTGCACAGACAGCAAGGGAGCATAAAACACTGGGCTTCTTGCTCACAATATACAAAAACAATGAAACAATCACCCTCAGCTGTCAGCATCTGCAGATCTTTCCCCAAGGGTAACAATAGAAAAAGGGGATCACATTCAAAGCTTGGGAAACCCAACATGTATTTCATATTAAAGCATCTAAATAATGGGTTATGTTACCATATTGGAAAAACGTGCTACAGCTAAAGTTCTTTCTCATTATTCATACCACTATTTTCTTTTAACTGGTAATGACAATGGTAACAGAAAGCACAATAACAAAGATATCACTTGGTTTGAGACCAGTTCTTCACAGAAAAAAGCCACTTGGAGACAATATCCAAATATATGACTTTCAACATCACGTATTTGGATGGTTTACACCATCCTCTACACTGACAGTGGTGGTCAAAGCTAGAGTAAAACTGTGATTCACCTAATCATGTTATTTTTCTTATTTCAGAGGACAATTATTGTTATTTAAAACACTAAGGAAGGAAAAATTTACTAATTATTTCAATTATTGACAAATCCAAGTGAAGGACCTACTAGTTTCTTAAAACCAATTTTTACATTCCTCATTTCATATTTAAATATCCTTCTTTAACAAGATCATGTGCCTTTCAGGGATATGTATGGAGCTGGAAGCCATCATCCCAGCAAACTATCACAGGAACAGAAAACCAAACACCACATGTTCTCACTTATAAGTGAGAGCTGAACAATAAGAACACGTGGACACAGGGAGGGGAACAACACACACCGTGGCCTGTCAGTGTGTGTTGACAGTTGGGGGAAAGGGGAGCGAGAGCATCGAGATAAATAGCTAATGCATGTGGGGCTTAATATGTAGGTGATAGGCTGATAGGTGCAGCAAACCACCATGGAACACCTTTACCTATAAAACAAATCTGCACATTCTGCACATGTATCCCGGAACTTAAACTAAACTAAAATAAACATTTTAAAAATACTTCTTTTCCTTTTATTTGATAAATCATGCATTCATTTATTCTTCCAATTAAAACATATTTGTTGATTGATGCCTATACCCTCCTTAATTCATTTTCAACAAATATACACAAAGCACTAAGAAAATAATGTTTAAACCTAGATTATCTAGATTGGTCATTTCAATTGATCAAACTATTTGTCAAAATTTTCTTCCTAAATATTTTACAAATGGCAGCTATTTCACTAAACTCCTCAAAGAAAACATGTACTGAGCAGTAATGTAAGATCTGGGTTCGCAGTAGTAAATAAGACACCTTCACTGAGCTTTCAGTCAGGCAAAGGAGATCGATGTCAGACAGACTATAACAAATGTTGTGAGCATTATAAGATGAGAAGTTTAAAATTCTAAGGCAATGGAGAAATGAGTGTGATATATTGTATTGGGAAGAGGAGACTGGAAAATGTGTTTGAAAAATTGTGTTCCCCTTGCAGAAAGAAACAGCAGGTTTCCTTCCTCTTTTATGAGATCAAGGAAAAAAAGAATAAGTTGTTCCTTAAAAGGAAAAAAAGTAGCAATATATATTCTAAACTATGCAAATGGCTAAAACTTGATTAATTAAGCCCACTTTCCCTGCTTTCTCTACCCCATCCCCAAAATACACACAATCCTCAAATCTAAGATCTAGATTATTTATATTAGCCATTTTTATTGATAAAGTGCTTGGCAAAGCTCTTCTTCCCTAAGTGTTGTATAAACATTCACTATGTACTGACATCCTCAAAGCAAATAAAGCATATCAAATATTAATCTTAAAATCAATTTGTTGGGAACTAGTGATTTATTTATTGAATAGAGTGTGGATTGAATGGAAATTTATAAATGGTCTCTATCAGAAATAGAACAGGACTAAATACTATTTTACATAAAACATTTTGAAATTCACCCACTAAAAGCATATTAGTCTCTGCTCTGAACCCCCTGCACCACTACACCGAAGGCAAAGCTTCAGTAGTGCCCTATTAAGGATCTTTCAATTTTATATATTAAGGGATATTTGGCTATTGGTTTCCGATAGTCTTTATCATGTTAAGGAAGATTTTTGCCTGTAGTTAAGTCGTTTAATAAGTCAGAGAAGTAATGAGACAGCATAGTTGTAAAAAGCTTCGACTCTGGGGTCAATCAGTACCGACTGGAATTGAAGCTCTGAAAAATTCTAGCTTCGTAGTCTTGAGTCAGTTACTTTAACCTCTCTTAGCTTCAGTGTCCAGCAAGTGTCAAAACGAGTGTGTCTCTGCCATAGACATGATATTAACTGGGAGGTCTTTGGTTGCTCTTTGACTTGGGTTCGTGGGGCCAGGGGTGAAGTGGCAGGTGAATCTTTTCAAAGCTGTTAAATGTCTGCACATGGAAATCTTTCCCAGGGTGTCTAGAATTTGTGATAAAACAGCTTTTGCTTTTATGGGAGATGAACTTACGTAGTCTCTGTAACTTAGGTGAGAGATCATATATGAATCCCTTTTGACACCCTTCTCTTTTTTTATTTCACCCCCAATATACACACATTCACGTACTAATATGTTTAAATTTGTTTGATTAATTAATAGAAAGGTCAAGAAATTTAGAATCCTAAGGAAATAAATAGAAAAATGAGTTTCTGGTCCAAAGCTTTGTTATCCCTTTGAAAAATTAGCATCACAAGTCAGGATTAACAGGGGAGATGTTACTGATAACTGCTTCACCCATTTGTGCTTTCCCCTAGAAGGCTAACTTTATAGAATTGTGATTTCCAAGAAGTCTTTTATTCTTTATATCACCAAACCGTTGTTTTCTTTCTCCTACTCCCTCTGTGTCTTCCACGGGTACGTTATTGATATACCATGATTCTAACCCAAGTGAACACATTTCCAAACCCCTATACCTTTGTTACATCAACCTCCCTTGGTTCAAGAAATCTGCCACTATAGACTTAACATTGTGAAATAAAGACTTCTAATCCTTTTAGCATGTAAAAGAGGGTGTTATGTATATGTGCTCTTACATTATAAGAAACATCAATATAACAAATATTTGTTTTCTAGAAATGCTATTTATATTCTTATTTTCCAATATTCTTATTATCCTCTTACTCTTGGTGTGTTTGAGTAACAGAATTTATATGCAAGTACACTAAAGCCAAAAATCCAATTTTTCTCTAAGCATACACAAATAGCAAAATTTTCTTTGTTCATTTGATTTGAAAGCAATACATAAATTAAGTCTATTATCAAAGAAAGAATATTCTCAAAAATTAACTTTAAAAATGATAAAGGAAATGAATACACCACTTGTTTTAGTCGGCTAACCAATGAATTCTTGTTTGATTGTTGATGCGTTCAAATGTTTAAGACTCAGCACCAAACTACACAGGCTATTTCTAAATTACTGGTCCTTCCCAAAACAGAGCCCGTCTAACAGAAGCAGTGATGGTTGTTATAAGATACTTGAAATCCTTCCTTCCTCTTTAGAAATTGTGAATCAGCATCCAGGGAATAGATGTAAGGACTCCACTGGTACGAGTGACTCCTACAGAAGGTGTCCTGAGGGGTTCAAGTCCCAATTCCCTATTTCGTGACTTTTAATCTCTTTTTATGAACATCAATCAGTTTCTCTCCTGTAACTGTCTAACTCTCTTCTGAGGGAAATAAAGATGTTTGAATAGCCACAAACAAAAATATGCGGAGGGAACAAAACTAATTGTTCCTTAAACTTGAAAAAGCACAAACATCTAGATATAACATTTAAATATCATCTTTATACGACCTTCTTTATTTAATAATATATACCTCAAATTCTATAATCTGTAGTAATTGTGGTTAATACCAATGTTTAACCCAAGTGAATCATAATTGTATTAACCAAGCTTCTGTAACTGCTTCAATAAAACTCTGCATAAAAGATTAGCAGGTGCTGCCAAATATTTATACTCTGCAGTTATTTCTGGTAAGGAGCACTGTTCAATCAGTGGGATTAAATTTAACAATGTTTACCTGTGTGTAAGCCTCCGGTGACTAATGCAGACTGCAGTCTGAGAATCTTGAGCAATGCATACTTTATGGCGACTACATTTCATCTTTAAGCATGGATCCTTAGCTGGATCTAAAGCTAAAAAAAAAAAAAAAAAATTGCACAGAAAATATTAAAATAAGCTTCTGTAAAATGGAGGTATCAAATCCCATGAAACACAACTTGATCAGGTAATTTACATAGTGCTTAATTGTAAACTTTCTTCACATTCTTCCTCTGTTAAGAGATACTTCTGCTTCTACCCACATAACTCAGACTTAACAGCTAGCTGTAGTTTAGTCTCATCCACTCTATTCAGAAGCTAAGATGCACATACGCCTATGATCAAACAATGTGTTATCAAAATAGAAACTTTAAGACCCAAACTTTCTGTGGTTGCTACTACCTTCTAAGCAGCAAAGGTGGTGAAATAAAGTTAGAGTATGTTACTGAAGTATTTTACGACAGTGGAAAACTACAATCTATACCCTTGTTTTCCCTAGATAAATGCTGGTGGGTAAATAAAAGTGATGAAACAAACAAACAAAAATGTCAGTGAACATTTGTGGATATCTTTGTTATCCAAAAATAGTCTGGAGCTGTATTTGGAGACTCAATGAATACGTCATAGTAAGAACTGAGATTCTGCATTTTCATTTTTACATCATTTGTGCATAATATTTGGACCATCATTTCTTCAAACAAACCTCTGTCTTCATGGCTGTCAATAAAAAGACTATGTGAAATGTTCATGGTTTCATTTTATAACAGCTTTATTTATATGTAATTCACATACTACACCATTCGGGCAGTTAAGTTTACAACCAATGTTTTTCAGTATGTTTGCAATTGTAAAACTATCACCACAATCAATATTAGAATAATTTCATCATCAAAAATACCCAAACATATCCTCTTGTTGTCATCCCCTTTCCTCTCCCCTCCAACTAGTATTAGGCAACTTCTCATTTAATTTCCATCTCTAGAGATTTTCCTATTCTGGACATTTTATATAAATTGAATGATAAAATTTGTGGTGCTTCGTGCCTAGCTTCTTTCACTTGAACAATGTTTCTGAAGTTCAATCATGTTGTACCATGAATCACGACTTCATTCCTTTATATTGTTGAATATTATGCCATTTTACAGATATACCACATTTTATTTATTCACTAGTAGATGTGCATTTTGACTGTTTCTACTTTTTGGCTATTGTAAATAATACTGATATTAGTGATCATTCATGATTAATCCCAGTGACACTTTTTTGTAATTTATTGTTGGGGGCAGACCAGAGGAGGAGTTGGTAAAAATAAACAAAAGGCACTGAGTGTCCAGATTTGGTACATGCCAAAATTGAGAGAAAGAAACAATGAAATAAGGTAAACAAAAATTTCTAGTGCACAAAGAGAAATAAAACCAGAAAAAGGTGCATTTGGAATATGCAGAAGTATTTGGAAAGGCTCCAGGCTGACCAGTGGACATAAAATGTGGATTTGAGACAATCTTTGAGGGTAACTCAAGCTGATTCTTAAGCATATTTAGTCAATAGCTTAAATAAAGTGAATATATTTTGATAATCAATGCATTTTATTTATTTTATTATATTTTATTTTATTTTTGAGACAGTCTGTCTTTGACACCCTGGCTAGAGTTCAGTGGCGTGATCTTGGCTCACTGCAACCTCTGCCTCACAGGCTTAAGTGATTCTCCTGCCTCAGCCTCCCAAGGAGCTGGGACTACAGGCCCGTGCCACCATGCCCAGCTAATTTGTGTATTTTTAGTAGAGACGGGGTTTCACCATGTTGGCCAGGCTGCTCTCGAACTTCTGACCCCAAATGATCCACCCACCTTAGCATCCCAAAGTGCTGGGATTACAGTGGTGAGCCACTGCTCTCGGCCTGAAAATTGATGAATTTAATAAAATACAGACATAAGCTGTAATACATATGCACATATATCTTACTGATTTCAATATATAAAGTATATTTCTGCAAAACTCTTGTTAGAGATTTGACATAACCATGAGATTTAAAATAATGTTAACACATATCATTGGTGAAATATTAACTAACAGACATTTTGTATTATTCCATGCTAACGTGGTCAAGACATTAAATGCATCTATTTGGAACACAAATGTTTCAATTTTCTTCATACTAAAAGAATTTTTTAATGAGTAATGATAGATTAATTATAGCTTTCCCTATTTGGTCAGTAGCTTTAATAATGAAAATAAACTATATTACTTTTTCATTGTCTATAAAATGATAAATATACTCTGTTCACTATGCAAATATAAATTGCTACAACATTCTTTTCAGACTATCACAGTTTGAAACATCATTAGGTAAAAAATGTTGTCTTCAAAGTATTGCACTACAAAAGGGTGTGACTTCTTGTTGGACAACATAAAAGAAAGAAAACATACAATAACTTAGAAGGCATCAAAAGTGTTTTGAGCTATTTCTAATGTTTAGTCTATGTTGATTTCTAATTATTAAAATAACATTTTTAAAATTCATTAAACAATTCTGCCTAACAATTAAATAATGTCATTGTTACCTGCCTCTGCACTACATGTACATATGTCATATACTCCTTTTGAGTATATTTAATCTAGGACTTACGTTCTGAAAAAGGAGTGTTTTCGTTTTGAAATAAAACACTATAGTACATATAAAATTATGATTAATCTAGTTATTATTTGAATGCAGACTGTTATGATTATAGCTATTTTTTCTTTACCTTATAAAATATATAGTCGATAATTTCCAAAAGTTCTATGACACAGTTTTGTCATACATGCTCAAGAAAATAGAACTCAAAAAATGGCATACAGTGAAAACAGAACAAATTTAACACATGAAAAATAATGTAATTAGTTTTCCATAAGATTCTATGTATATGACCAAATAAGAGAGGAGCAGTATTTGTCAGGAGGTGGAAAATATAGGAGAAAGTGAATATAAAGAATCAGATACATAGCATGTACAATAACAAAAAGACCACTTTCTGTGTGTGAGATTTTAACCATCTGTATTTTTTAGTAGAACTCACATTGTTGGCAGCTTAAAAAATACAAAACATTACACACTGTAAATACAGATGCCTAAGATTTTATTCTTGAAATCACAACAATAACACAACAAATTTCTCTTGGCTGAAGTCCATGGATTAGAATCAATTCTGTGCCTTAAAGAGACCTGGCATAAATTCATCATCTCCCTCTGTTGTGTTCTTCTTTCCGTCTTGTTTTCCATTTAACATCTCCTCTTCTGTTCTGCATGATTGTATTTAGTCTTCTCTCCAGCAACCAGTCAAACTACCTCTAGAAAGATTTCAGCAACTGCATTTGACTTCACTTGGCTATGTTCTTTTCTTCATCCTAATCTCTAATAAACTTTCTGGTCAGTGTGAACTAACCTGGGTACCTGACAAGATTTTTTTGGTTGTGTTTCAGAAAATAGCATCTGTATTTTAAACAACTGCCACATAATGTATCCTTTGAGCCTCATTACATTTGCCATGTAGTATTTCCCTCAATCTTTTGCCAGAATACTTGTTTTTTAGTCCAGAATTTTTCCTAGTTACTTCCAGACAAGTATAAACTAGGAAGAATCAGGCCTTATTCAGCCCATAATGGTGGGAATGCCTGAGGCAGCAAGGGTAGGTGATACCAGAAACAAATGTGAATGAAGCTCTGTATGTCAGTAAAAAAGAAATGTAGACAATCCTAAGTCAAAAGAACAAAGCTGGAGGCATCACACTACCTGACTTCAAACTATACTACAAGGCTACAGTAACCAAAACAGCATGGTACTGGTACCAAAACAGAGATATAGACCAATGGAACAGAACAGAGTCCTCAGAAATAATACCACACATCTACAGCCATCTGATCTTTGACAAACCTGAGAGAAACAAGAAATGGGAAAGGATTCCCTATTTAATAAATGGTGCTGGGAAAATTGGCTAGCCATAAGTGAAAAGCTGAAACTGGATCCTTTCCTTACTCCTATACGAAAATTAATTCAAGATGGATTAGAAATGTTAGACCTAATACCATAAAAATCCTAGAGGAAAACCTAGGTAGTACCATTCAGGACATAGGCATGGGCAAAGGCTTCATGTCTAAAACACCAAAAGCAATGGCAGCAAAAGCCAAAAATTGACAAATGGGATCTCATTAAACTAAAGAGCTTCTGCACAGCAAAGAAACTACCATCAGAGTGAACAGGCAACCTACAGAATGGGAGAAAATTTTGCAATCTACTCATCTGACAAAGGGCTAATATCCAGAACCTACAAAGAACTCAAACAAATTTACAAGAGAAAAAAAAATCAAACAGTCCCATCAAAAAGTGGGCAAAGGATATGAACAGACATTTCTCAAAAGAAGACATTCATACAGCCAACAAACACATGAAAAAATGCTCATCATCACTGGCCATCAGAGAAATGCAAATCAAAACCACAATGAGATACCATCTCACGCCAGTTAGAATGGCGATCATTCAAAAGTCAGGAAACAAGGTGCTGGAGAGGATGTGGAGAAATAGGAACACTTTTATACTGTTGGTGGGATTGTCAACTAGTTCAACCATTATGGAAAACAGTATGGCGATTCCTCAAGGATCTAGAACTAGAAGTACCATATGACCCAACCATCCCATTACTGGGTATATACCCAAAGGATTATAAATCATGCTGCTATAAAGACACATGCACCGCGTGTGTTTATTGCAGCCCACTATTCCTATTAGCAAAGACTTGGGAATCAACCCAATGTCCATCAGTGACAGATTGGATTAAGCGTGTGGCACATATACACCATGGGGAATACTATGCAGCCATAAAAAGGATGAGTTTGTGTCGTAGGGACATGGATGCAGCTGGAAACCATCATTCTCAGCAAACTATCACAGAACAGAAAACCAAACACCGCATGTTCTCACTCATAGGCGGGAACTGAACAATGAGATCACTTGGACTCGGGGAGGGGAACATCACACACCGGGAGCTATCATGGGGAGGAGTGGGGAGGGATTGCATTGGGAGTTGCCTTATGTAAATGACAAGTTGATGGGTGCAGCACA